AGGGAGGGAAGGAAGAAGGAAGGAAGGAAGGGAGGGAGGGAGGGGAAAGAAAAAAGAAAGGAAAGAAAGAAATTTTCAGAACAGAAGCACAAACTTTCATCAGTGAGCCACTACAGAATCACTATCTCAATATTGGGGCTAGCAGCACAAATTCCCATACCGCAGAAATGTTGAGTGGCACTGATACATTTTCATTTCTTCCTCAATCCCTTTATGGACAGGTGAATATGAATATGCAATTCATATTTAAGAAAAGGCATTCAGCTATGCTTACCAGATAACTGAGTGGTGAATTGCATGGGGACCAGAGATTAAACATGTACCTGTGAGTTCCACAGTAGATGCAGTAAAGGCAACTTGCATTCAGAAGCTGAAGACTTACTTATATTCCTGTGGCTTTGGTCCCCTGGAAGCGAAGCACCTGTCATCCAGTCTGGAATGTGCGGGCTGGGACGTGCAGTAGACGCCATGGGGCTCTTGTCATTGATCATGTTTGGGAGAATAACATCCGAGGTTTGGCCTTTACCATCAGTGACCAAAGGTTCACTCCCGTTTGATTTAAAATAAGTCTTTTTTAATGTTCCTGAAAGACAAATATACATTACTAGAATTACTTACTTTTAAAAAACATATTAAGAAAACTCCAGGCTGGGCGTGGTGGCTCACTCCTATAATCCTAGCACCCTGGGAGGCCAAGGCAGGTGGATTGCCCTGATCTCAGAGGTTGAAGACCAGCCTGAGCCAGAGTGACACCCCATCTCTACCAAAAAAAAGCCAGGTGCCTGTAGTGGTTAGGCACCTGCAGTCCCAGCTACTTGGGAGGCTGAGGCAAGAGAATCACTTAAGCCTAAGAGTTGGAGGTTGCTGTGAGTGAGCTATGATGCCAGGGCACCCTACTGAGGGCCACAAACTGAGGCTCTGTCTCAGTAAAAATAAATAAATAGATGAATAAATGAAAGAAAAAAAGAAAATAAAAAAACTTAAACTAAGACAATTGAAAGCAAATTTTTAAAAAAGGAAAAGAAAAGAAAAGAAAACTCCAGAGCGACTCTCATATATGTAATTTATCTGGGCAAACACAGAGAAAGATGATGGCCACCACAATGACCTCCTTCCTAAGGGCAACCAGAAGAATTTCTCTTCTACCACAAATCACACAGCCTCACAATGAAACACTGCTTTCTCCAGAGCTTGATGTTTAGTTTTGGGGGATTTTTTTGCAGTTTTTGGCTGGGGCTGGGTTTGAACCCAGCACCTCTGGCATATGGGACCGGTGCCTTAGTCCTTTGAGCCACAGGCGCCGCCCCAGAGCTTGATGTTTAAAAACTGAGTCTCCCATATAGATTTCCTGGTGTCCAAAGAATTTAGGGCAATTCTACCTCACTCAGGACCCACCAAATAAAATGTGGTGAATCTTACCGCATTCCCTCCCTGCTTTCCCGGCTACTCAGTCTCTCACTGCTCATTGTGTGCTAGCCGGGACCCAGGACTCACACTTACATTTTCCCGCCTATTGCACTGATGGTCAGTAAACTGTGCATAACATAAATAAAAGTAACGGGGCTCATATATTTACCCAGACTTATAGAAACCAAAAACAAGTAAAAAAAAAACCAGACAGGGCAGCACCTGTGGGTCAAAGGAGTAGCACGCTGGCTCCATATGCCATAGGTGGCGGGTTCAAGCCCAGCCTTATCCAAAAAAAAAAAAAAGTAAAACTCTAAAGATAGGACAAAATAAAAGAAGAAACTAAACTATCATCATCTTTAATGAGAAGGTACAAAACATAATTATTAATATATGAAACAAGAAGTACTAAGACTGTCCACTGGTCACTTTCTCAAGGTATCCATTCACTGACAAAATAACAAGCCAAACCTAAGATTACTGAGAAGTACGTAACTTGTCTTTAGGCAGAAACTTTTGAAAACCTCGAAAGAGATCGTGTATTTTTAATTCAGTCAAAATAGACAGCAGACCATGTTTCCAGAACATAGCACCGTTAGTCAAGCACGCCACAAAAATAAATGAACGTGATATTGATCCATCTACAGAAAATACCCAAGGGAGATTTTTCTTTTCTAAAAACATTTACAGTAAATGCTGTAATTGGCTTTCTAAATAGTCCCATGGATCATTAAAAATAAAAGAAATATAAATAAAATGTATAATATTAGTCTATGGAAAAAATTTCTCTCCATGCTTTGGACACTTGGAAAACATTAACTTACAAATCAAAATAGAAAAGCAGCTGTTCTAGCTAACTAAGGTCAACAGTTTCCTCTGCCAGAGGATTCTAAATAAAACATTAGTGGGTAAAAGTTAAATCATGACCATGAGATGTAGGTAACACATTCTCCAAACTGTCTGTGTGATGATGAGCAAATATCAAATGCAGTTGGTGAAATAAAGGACTTTGGTGAATTGTTTTTGATTTTCAGAATGATTTAGAATTTGTCCTGGATCAAAATAAACACATGCCATAGGCTTGATTACTCTATAAAATGTATTTCATTCATACAGAAAAATCTACTAATCAATTACATACAATTTTACTTTCATCCATTTGTCAGTTGCTGTTCTCTTTGTTTATTTGGCACAAAGAGATTTTCCACATAAGGTAATATTTATGCTATTGTGACTGTTTAGTGAGTATATAAAGCCCATTAACTTGATTTACTTATCTTGCTGAGTCCATGAATCAACCTCCAGTTCTGTCAATATACATTTAACAAAGGACAACTCCTCAATGTTATACCCCAGAGTAATTCTCTTAAAATGAGTTCCCTATCGTATAAAATATTTCAATGCTTGTTCTGTTTGTAATGACTAGCCTTATAAATAATCTTTCCTTTGTCATTTTAAACAAATCACAGTGGTGAAAGTCTTTCTAACATCTTTCACCCTAAGAAGTCCTTTGAAACACTGACTTTTTAATAAGAAAACCCTGACCTGAACAACAACACTCTTTTTAAAAAAGGC